CGACCCAGCATCCAACAGGCTCTCTTTCTTTCTGGTTTTTGTTTACCAGCTGTCCTCTCCCACTGACTGGAGGCACCATATGGCATCAGAGCAGCACACACGCACGACCACAGGAGCGTACCTACACAGATGCATCCTATATATTCAAAGACATATACATATTTACATGCACACACTCACACACACAGACATACATACACATTTGGCACTCAATCTCTTCAAAGCAAACACTACGATCTCAATTTAGAAAAAGCTGCTCTGACGACGCCCTCTGATCATTATTGGAGCTTTATCCCATTTAGCACATCCTCACTAACACAGACACAGGAAGATTTCAGAAGGAGAGTCAGAGCAGTCAATTTGTACTGGTTAGACCTTTTGTCCACACTGGACCAGATGCATGAATGAATGACAATGAGTCGGTTTGTTATTTCCAGTGGCAAATTAGGTTTATAAAAAGACCAAAAGGCAGACGGAGAGATTCTGCTGTGGACAGCACGGCGAGGTATGTAGACTATGCATGGCAGCTAGCTGAGGTCCCTGTGGGCCATGTGTCCACCAGCAGCTCTCATTTAACTGGCTAAAGCAAAGGCCTGGATAAAATGCGACCTATCTGAAGCACAATATTTTATCCTTGAGATTAAAATTGCTCTCATAGTTATCAGTGTAGATACAACAGAATAGAAAGTTCTGACCAGCTCATTAAAGCATTTTCATTTGCTATTCTTGCTATGAAAAACAGACACCTTCCACAGGGGCTGAGGCACAATCTACAGAAATTTCCACATCAGTAACAGAAAATTTAAGGAGTTTTGTCACAACACTATAATTTCTAACTTTGATACAACACCAATATTCGGCACCATTTTTGATACCACGGGGAATAGCTGGTATTGAGGCAAGGTTATAACATGATAATGTCTTTTGGCTCATTTGTAATCAGCCATTCAGAGCCAATCGAGGACTTTCACCTACGCCCAGGTGGGTCCTGCCTACAATAGTGAACTCTTTACTGGTTGTATTTGAGACCTTTCTGACAAACTGAACTATTTTTACTGGGTGAAAAAAATGCACTAGACTAGTCAACTATTTTTTGGGAGCAGTCAGTGACTACCAAAGTGCAGCAGTCGTGAATGCTCTACTCTCTAATAAGGCACCCTTTGTACAGTACTTAATATTGCAATTAAAGGCTTTACTAAAGGTGTATAGGTTTGTTGTAAGTCACAAATGAGAACAACTTGAGCAACAATGAGTTGCTGCGTAAAAAAAAAATCTATTTGACTGGCTGGACTACTTCAGTCCGTCCAGAAAATCATCATCTTGCGATCGCAATATTTAACGCAAATTCAAATGACCGGAAGTCGTCGCGCATACGACGTCATTTGAAACGTCATCAGACGCTTCATCAAATTGCGCTAATGGTATTGCAGTATGGAGAAACGCTCTGTATTGGCATACATTTTTAAGAAATTTTAAATGCATACAATATGTGTTGAATTTATTAAAATGTTATGTTTACAGAAGATCTAGCTTACATGTTGTTTTACAGTCACGTTGTCTGGTTTGAGAGCTACAATATTCAGTCAGGATTTTTTGCAACATTATTGGAGTCCATGTTTTGAAACTAATTAAGTAAAACCAAAGAAGATAACTATAAAAAACATTTACAGCTTTTTTTGTAACAGTATGATTATTATAGCAAGTGATTACATGGCTTATTTTTTTGGAGGTAGTAGTTTAAAAAAAAAAATCACCTTTTTTTACCCTCCTTTTGTCAGTAGCTGCAATGTGCCGCAAAAAAACACATAAAAATGCCACAATTTTTAATCACATTTTTTGACAAAATTGGCCGCAAACTCAAGGGTTTTTTGCCGCGAGATCCTGGAGAGACTGCTACTTGGCCACGTACTAAGACCACAATCCATTTATCAACAACTAGGGGTGTAAATCACCAGTTCCATCACGATACGATATTATATCGAGCCTTTGGAAAACGATACAATATATGCCGATATTATGAAGTCTGCCATGACACGATTGCGATTCAATGTGATTAAGGGGCCTGTGATCGATATGAGATGATATTATAACACAATCAGTTACAAAAGAAGCTGCCATCCCTTTCTTTTTTGCTTTTGGCCATTAAAGATAAAAACAACACATAAATAAGTAACTAACTGCTTAAGTGCAGTAAAGATCAATTTATACTGACTTCACTTACACATAAAACAGCACATATCAAAATCCAGCTAAGTAATAACAGACAAGGTTCACAGACAAAACAGCTTTTTTGCTTGTCACACATTATTAGCTTCAGCATGTTTACATTGCAAAAATTAGCCTAGCAGCTAGCGGACTTTCTCCTCTACTTATAGCTTAACAAATTACCTGTGACGTTATATTTTTTCTTACTCACTGTTGGTTTAAGTCACTGCATCTCCCGACAGAGAAGCTTGGTTGAATATCAGCCTGCATGCACGTTTTTTTCAGCCTGACATTGTTGAAACAGAGCAGCTAATGTTGCTGTAGTGAGAACACATACATTGTGTTTAATCTCCTAACAGCACTGTTTACATACAGCATGTGCTCTGTCTGTTGACCCCATTTTTCTCCCATTTCCAACATATTTCCACACTGATTTATGTTGATTTATTACCAAATCATCCTCATCGTCTTTTTCTTGGCTGCTTGCCATCTGCCTGCTGCTGTTTGACAGTGACACAGACTTTTAAAATTACAGCGTATCCTGAAGACAACGATATAGGCCGGTATTTTCACTTTGCATTGATGATACTGGATCGCTGATCATTGATATACTCAATATACATCGATACACTGATGCAGATCGTTGGATCGTAACACCCCTATCAAGAACTTGCTAACATTTATAACTTCAGACTTCATGGCTTACTACATTATTATTACCAACATTTATAACTGCATTATTACCAAACAGAAACCATAAACACCTGCCAAAGGGATGTTTCAGAACCTAGCAACAAAAACATTTTAATAATGATTTATATTTCAGCAATAAAGCATACGTTAATGATTTATCAATCGTTGATAAAACCATGAATTACAATTTATCCATTTTATACAGGATGACTTCCTGCAAAGCAGTACATATTCTGTCTTTGGCATACAAGTATACAATAAGTATACAATATGTGAAATTCTGTTTTTGTGTCCTGTTGCAATCTTTCTGACAAACACTGAACACATATACGTAAGTCTGCAGAAACACACATAACATGACAAAACATCTCTCTTTGGAATGGAAAAGATACTGTGCAAGGTCACTTACTCATCGATGCATTAAATCACAAATAAAACATTTCAAGCAATTTGACCTCCCTGCACACCTCAGCTCACACATGCTTATTTCAATAATACACTGTCAACAACATTCAGTTGACATTCAATGTTCAGTCAACCAACACTGCCATCCAACAACACTGAGCACAAGGACTTGTCTGAAGTTGCACAAGGCGAACTTTTCAGAGCTAAAAGCTTTCACTTGATCGCAACATTTTGTGCAGTAATTACTTTTCAATATGAAGAAAAAGAAAACTAAATATACTGAGTACTAACTCATAAATTCAGCTGTGGGCGGTTTCAGTTCAATATAAAACAGTGCAAATGTATTTCATTGAGACAGTGTGGTGGAAAAAAAAAAAAAAAAGCCCATATTTACTCAGTCTGCATCACCACATGACAGTATAGCCTGAAGTTTTAACAAGACTAGCATCCAGAGAGACTTCTCATTAGTCCTGGGCTGGTAAAGAAGCCCACAGCTAATGGAACAAAAATGTCACTCAGCTACTAAGTGTGCTGTGGACAGACAGGTAGATGGACAATGAGACATAGAGCACTCATAAAAACGCTTAATGAGGAGCAGTGTCTGGTTTCATCGGGGAATGGCTGACTATAGACCTCATTTATTTTCCAAATAGTCAGTTTTAGGAATGACAACAGCAATGGCTTTAAAGGGGCAGTTCACCCCAAAATAAAAAAAATCACATTTTTTTCCTCTAACCTGTAGAGCTATATAGATTTGGTGCAAGTTGCTGGATATTGGCCGTAGAGATGTCTGCATTCTCTCCAATATAATGGAACTAGATGGCACTCGGCTCGTGGTGCTCAAAGTGCCAGAAAAATACGAAAAAAATTTGAAAAACTCAACAGCAATGTCTCTTTCCAGAAATCATGACCCAGTTACTCAAGATAATCCACAGACCTTCTTGTGAGCAGTTTCATGAAGGAGCTATTATCTCTCTACCGAACTACACCCGCCAACCGTATCAAAGCACAGATGGAAGTGTCCATCTACTGCTAGCTAGTTAGCACCACTGAGCTAGCTAATGTTACAGCTCAGCTAAAGAGGACGCCATTAATGTTTAAATCTTGTGCTGTCGTGAGCATGAGCCTCTCGTCCATGAGTAGATGCACACTTCCTTCTGTGATGTGATACAGTTGGTGGGTGTAGTTCGGTTGAAAGAAAATAATGGAAAGAAACGTAGCCAAGAGAAGGCAAACATCTCTACAGTTGATGTCTCCAACACTCGGCAACTCAGACCAGAACGATTTTAGACTGATAAACAGCACTACAGGTACAGGTAAAAGTAAAAATACGTATTTTTGATTTTGGGGAGAACTGTCCCTTTAAATTTAAATCAGCGCTTATATCCACATTTGAAGTTGTGGACTTAGTTCTGTTCTGATGCTGCAATTAGGTCATCAAATAAACTTCAAACTTAATGGGCCAAAGTCTTATTTATACAATGGTAAACTGTCAAAACAGATTTGAACTCACAAGATTTACGGATGTGCATTTCTAGGTTTTGATACAACATGATGACAGCTCTGTTCAGCAACAATGAACTTGGATACACTTCCATATCAAACTTGTAGCCAGTAAATTCAACCGTTTAAGCACAGTTCTGTTTTGATCTGTGAGTAACTTTTAACGTTGAGTGTGTGTTTAGTGTGTGTCTTACCTGTCACATCGTGGTCCAGTGTATCCAGGCTGGCACTGGTCACACAACAGGTCCCCTTGTTCACTCAGGTGGCAGGTGGGGCTGAAACTATCGTAGTTGCCAAGAGTATGTTGTTGTTGTTTTTGTTGAAGTTGTTGATGGATTCGGTAGCGTTGTCCCAGCGTGGGGAGAGGGAGGAGGAAGAGGAGGAAGAGGAGAGGACAGAGGCGAGTTAAGGCCATTGTATGTCTCCTCAAATACACTCACGCACACACACCTGTGTCCCTACTTTCACCTTCCAGTCTTCACATTCACACTCTGTAAGACACATACACTTAATTTCCTCCCTCTCACCCACACATCTGTACTTCCACACACCCCTGAATTTTGAAAACACTCTTCCTCTCCTCTACAAACTGTAACCTAAATGAACTGAGAGAGAGAGAGAGACGGAGTGAAACGACGCTCTGTCACCCTCCCACTTCCATAAACTATAGATAGTTCTGCTGGCTCGGGTTCCAGGCCCCAGACTGACTCACTGGCTGACTGACTGGCTCGCGAACTGCAAGCTGGCTCGCTGAGTTACAAATAAACTTGTTAGGCCAGAGCATGTGAACAACAAAAAAACTGTCAAATAATACCAACAGTCGTATATTGGCTGGATTTGTACGTATAATTGGGGTTATTTAAAACCAACTATAATCAGCAGGGACACTGGTAAACTTGGTGCTGTTGTTGTGCTCTTTCTCAATGTTTTTTAGGGGGAGGGAAATTACTATAAAACTTCAATTAATAGCCCAGGCTATTATTTGCTTGAATCACTGAAATCAACAGGCCTATATTTGGGACAGGCCTTTAATTCCATCACACAAAACTGTTGCTCAGCAAAGATTCATTCATTCGATCTGGTTTTGACAGACAGTGCAAAACAGAAAGAGAGTTACAGCACTCGAGGATTAAGGCACCTAGCATAACGACACAACACCACTTTATCCTGTCAAAACAATGCTCACAACTTGGATTAATTTTTATGAAAAACCCTTTTGATTCTTTTGATCCGTGGACCCTTACGGACTAAAGGAATATGAATAACCAACAAGGTAGTTGAGGAATGAACACATAATTTGAGGTAGCAAACAACCCAGTTTTATACATCCAAATAACTTCTATAAGAAAAAAAATGAACTGCTTGGCAATCAGACCAGGCCTCTAGTTGAGACAGGCCTTTATTTGTCAAAATGTGTAGCCACACCAGGCTAGTAAAAGGGACTGGGCGTTTAATTGAAGTTTTAGAGTATGTGACTGAAGATAATGTGTAGAGTAAAAGTTGTCCCAAAACAATTATTCATGCATTCATTTACTTTGATGTGATGAGAAAACATTTTAGCTGCAAAAAAAAAAAAATGTCTGTACTACACTATACCAAGAGGCAACCTCCAGGACTGAAAAATTAAGCCAATGTAAAGGTGCCAAAAACTGCAGTTCCTCAAATGGCCCCTTGAGGCTGGCTTTAACTGCCCAACTTTGCAGTATAAACATGTTTACAGCCTGGTACAAAAAACAGGTTTGATTTCTGTCGCTAATTTCAACATTTATGACAACTATAAGGGGGTTAATTTTTACATATTTCACTCATTTACATTTTATTTAGGCTTAAAGTTACTAATTTGGCGTTACTACATAATAAAGGGCGTGGCTGCTTTGAGAGACAGACTGTCTGTAAGGTGTAACCTAGGGCTGTCAGAAAGATCCACCCCTAACTCTTCCACAGCTCCACCCTCGCATCAAAATATGGTCATTCCAGGTCATTTGTGGCTCCTAAATCTAAGATGGCTACAGCAAAAATGCCAAAACGGAGTCCACAAACCGATGGGTGATGTCATGGTGGCTACTTCTATTGAGTTTATACAGTCTATGCACTACATGTTATCTATCTGGGTGCTCAGAGGTAGAGCAGGTTTTCCACCAAATGGAGGATCCCTGGCTCCTCCAGCCCAAGTTGAAGTATCCTTGGGCAAGACACTGAACCCCAGATTGCTCCAGATGGCTGTTCCATCAGTGTGTGATTGCGTGTGAATGGTGACTTTGTAGCAGGTTGCACCATGTATGGTAGCCTCGGCTACCAGTGTGTAAATGTGAATGTGACATCTAGTGTTAAAGTACTCTGAATGGTCGAAAGACTAGGTGCTATATAAGTGCAGTCAATCAACATTTTACCATATATACGACACATACAGAACATTGTTAACTCATATTACAGATTACATCCTGTTCCTGTAGGAGAGGGTGATGAAAGGGTGGATGAAATCTACTATCATTGTACGTGCAGCAATAACTTTACTGATGAAGTAACCTGACCACAATAAAAATCCAAATATCACCAATTTCCGATTTCACCATTAATCACATTATGGTTAAAACGCCCTACAAGTGCTATTGAGAAAACAGGTAACTGAGCTGAGCTTAACGTATGACTACATTGAAGAAAGAGGAAATTTGAGGTACTACAGCTCATCAAAAAGTTGATGTATAAGTTAAATCATTGTTCCGGCAACACAATCACAAACTACAAAATTGTAAGTGTATATAAAAGCTTCATTGACTGAGACACAACCAGAAAACACTTGGAGGTTGCCTCTGCCGAGACAGCATTATCATCCAAATGAGTTGGTCTAATAATAGAACACATTTACATGTGATCCAGATCTACATCAAAAGACAAATAATAATAGACAATAATGCAGATGTTAAACATAAATCCTCAGAGTGTTGGGGCTTTTTATGTGGGTTAATTGTGCGAATTTTAAGAGACTCAGAGTCAAACCACAAAATGACTGTTGTGCTACTGTGGCACCATTTATATCTGCTTCTCCTCCGCATTCTCTAAAAGCATCTTCGAAAAGTAATCACGTGTGACCAATGGACTGTTGTTCGTATACCTCTGGAGAAGATGTCAGCGTGTGTTTATCTGTGATTTTGTCTGATGGGTTTGCTAAGAATCTCATGGATGAAGAATGCTGAAGTTGAACAACCATGATTTTGGATTGTGAAGCAGGCACAGCATGATATAGCATTTTAAATAACTCCATGACTTGTGGTAAGTTTGAGTTTCTACTGCGTTAAGTTTTCTAGCCTCGGTTGTGTTGATTCTGCCAATGGCGATGACATTTCCACCCAAAGGGATGATGTTTCTCCACTTATATGGATGCTTTTACCTGCGGTGATGATATTTCAATTCATGTCTTTACAATTATATTCCTACCCATTCAGGAATTTGGCTACCTGTTGGGAATATGAAAAAGATAAATTAAAAAATCTAGAATTTTTTTTGGTCACCCAAGTATGTTGTGTCGCCGTTCCAGGTAAGACTGGGAAAATAGCTGGTGACACTAGCTTTTAAAAAATAAAAATAAAGAGGAGGTAAATGATTAGGGCTTTAATGAGTAGATGATTAACCAAGGATCTCTTACATATGTAGAAGACAAATAAAAAAGACTAAAAACCCCCTTGGCAGCGAGGTAATTAAGCCTGGGTGTAAATAAAGAGGACGAGCACACCAGGACGAAACTGATGTCCACCAGTCCGCTGTAAATCATCACCCTGCTTCTTCCTGTGCTCGGGTTAATATCACTTTATCAGATGTTCATAAGAGCTCAAACGTTACCGCTAACTGAACAGTCGAACTGTCTGGGCCAGCTATTTGAGTGATTGGCTTCAGTGAACATAACGGACTGGATGGCTATTTTGAGGGTCTGAAAGGCTCGGCACCTTCAAGCTATTATTACTGCAGGGGTTTATGGGGAGGTAGGGAAGGGGAGAGGTGAGAGACAGAGAGAGTTGTAGCTTTCTTTAGCTCCGAGAGTTTTCAACATGACGTGTCGAGACTGCATGAGGATTCTCAGCTGCTGCTGCCTGTGTGTGTGTGTGTGTGTGTGTGTATGTGTGTGTGTGTGTGTGTGTGTGTGTGTGTGTGCCCATGCCGTTGACATCTGTGCCCCAAACACACAGCATCTCTCTCTGGTCATTTGGAGAAACTGCAGATGTAACCAATGATCATAATATGGTTCCTACTTGGTGACAAATCTTCAACAGTTGGTTTTAGTCGAACATCCCATTGCTATAGCAACCCCTACTGGCACAGTTCCATATCAGTTACATAAAAGAGGCGTTTACATGGACAAGAATACCCTGTTTATGATCAGGTGTTTGGAGTATCCCATTTATGTGTCTGAGCATGTAAACACCTTATCCTGTTTACAATAATCCCACATATGCTACCTGGAGTACTCCAAAAATAACAGACACTGCACATTAGCAGAGGCAGCTTCAGCCAAGTGACGAAACAGAAACAGAAACAATGGCAACAGAAAGAGAGTTTTGTCTTTCGGGGTCATATCTTCATCCACTGCTCCCCTGCAAGGTTAATATAGTTAACTAAAACTAAACTAAAAACTAATACTAGGTGTGAAAAAACACTTTAGTTAGTCAGTCTTCATCAATTTGGTCAATGCAACGAGCATGAGGAGGCATTGGTGTATATGTTTACTGAAACTGGGAAGACAACTTTGAGTCAACTGCCCCCCTGGGGCGTGACAAATCATTTCATTCACGATATTACCAGTATATTCTTACCAACGGCAACAACAAGCATGGCTGAAAGCAAAATTATTGCTGACTCTACAGTGGTTCTAAAAAGAGGAGCAGCTTCAGTAGTGTGGAATAAACTGTGGCGTCCTGAATGTTTAAACAGCTCCGGACTTCTCAGACTCTTTTAGTGAGTTACTGCTCAGAGGGAACTCATTCAGCGGCTCCTCTGGCAGCAGCACAGCGTCTCTCCCTCTCCTCCCTCACTGTGCGTACATGGGAGCCTGTGTCGTCAAGTGGTTTTGTCATAAACCTTTGGTAATGTAAACCTACGTGACGCTCGCACATATATGTGAATGTGCGATAGTTCTGGTATCATAACAGCCTGTCACAGGTTACAGCGTGATGATTAGAGGAGAAATGGCAGAGCATAAAGGTCCAGGTGGAAAAAACAACTCCGTCATTTAGGAATTTGCTGATAAAGAAGGAAATCACCTGTTGATTTATATATATATAGATCCTAGGATACATGATTTGTATTTGGGAGATGTTTAAATGTGTAATTTGTGGTAGATTTTATTTTGTTGAACTATTAATATTGTGTACAGAATCTGAATCTCACTTTGACTTACTGCTGTTGTTTACACACTAAAGAAATGAGAGACAGGTGCTTGCACAAATAGACCACAGTAATCAGAAGCTGGATCACTAGTTTTATTCATGTATATGAGGAATATGAATAATCTGATTTCTCTTTGCTCATTTTAACGTCATTTCCTGAATGTGATCATAACCAGGTAAGAGGGGAAAAAAAGGATTTTTGGGGTGAACTGTCCCTTTAAGTACATTTTTAGCAGAGACAGTGTGAGTTGTTTTCTGTACAAGAGGAGTGGTATGGTAAAAGATTTTAAATACCTAAATGACTCGTGGGAGGTTTAACTTTGCTATTGTTTTAAGTTTCCCAGCCACAGTCATGTTGATTCTGCCCACTGTGACGACGTTTCTACCAGCAGGGATGATGTTTCTCCACTTATATTAATGCGTCTACCTGCAGTGATGATAATTCCATTCGTGTCATTAAAATTATATTCCTCGCCACAGTGATGAGGCCTCTGTTTATGGCAATATCCTTTAAAGACAAAAAATAAGTAGTCCAAGCGTCAGGAGAGGAAACGAAAGGAGAATGGAACATTATAAAGCGACGGGTCAGACAGAGAGAATAGGGGCCACAGTGCTGAGAGGTCAGCAGTGATAGATTGAAGCATTTGATTAAATCTTGTCGTTATGACACCATTAACCCCAGTGTCTCCACAACCTACTTGTTACTGGGAAGATTGAGCGGGCAGGCGCAGGGCTGACAGTCCGCGGGTGACCCACGGGTGGCGTTGCCATAGTAACCAGGTAGGCAGGTATCACAGTGGGGGCCTATGGTGTGGTGGGAGCAGTCCTGGGGAAAACAGATAAACTATTATTGGCAAACAAACATCTGATTAGGTAACCTGAGTGTCATGAGAAGATCTGATGCAGTTTGCGCAACAATGAAAATCTCAACAACTCATCATGTTAATATTGTCTTCAATCACATTTTAGCTGAGAAAATAATGAGACAACTTAATGTGTTTGTCGTCTTTTCAAATAATATTTTCTTTGGGCAATGTAGGGATGTTTGCTTTTTTATTACAACACAAATTATTTTAAAAAGACTGAAAAACACGAAAACAAATGTCTTGGAAATAAAATAAGTAAAAAAGTAAGTTAGTAAATAGATCTTTATCTACAACCTCAAGAAACTTGGGCTGTAAACAAAAACAGAATGATTTGCAAATCCTTTTGTAATAAAGTGGAATGACAAAGGAAAAATTGATGTACATGCTAACTAAAGTTTATTAAATACTGCGAAAAGCCTTTGTTTGAAATGCCTGCTTCAAGATGCTTGCTGTGAAGAGACTAATCTCTCAGTGTTTAGATGGGGTTTTGGCCCATTTTCCCACACAGACAGTCTTTAAATCTTGAAGAACTTGGGGCCCTAATTGTGAATCTTGAGAAAGAAATTTCACTTTCAAAACTTCAACAATCAGTATCCTCAGTTAGCAAATGCTTACTGTGTGTTGTTAAAGGAAAGGGTAATGTAACACAGTGGTTAAGATGGGCCAGTCCCAACTTTTCTGAAACGTGTTGCGAATTCAAAATGAGGTTCATACATTGTACACAGCACCCCAACTTGTTTGGAATCGGGGTTGTATATAGCATTTTCAAACCTAGGTTACAAAGTGATTTACAAAAGGAAAAAGGTTAAAAGAACAAAGATAAGTGCAACAAAAACATGACAACAGGAGAAAATAATAGAGTAGTTTTTTGATGAATGATGAATTTCTGTTTTTTTTTTTGTTTGTTTGTTTTTTCTGCATCGCAAGAACTCGGAAGCTAAATCCACGTGTTGTACATAGTACAAGATAACCTTGCTCACCTTGTCTTGTCTGCTTTATGTCAATTATGTTTTCTATTTTCAAGTGAAGCACTCCATGCTTACATTGCCCTTATTGTAAAGCACTGTGCTGCATTTCTTGTATGAAAGGTGCTATATAAATAAAGTTTATTATTATTACCATTATTATTATTATTATTGCATCATCTCTAGTGTACATCTAATTACTACATCTAATTTTATAATTAAAAAAATGATGAAGCTAATCAGCCCTGATTAGATTATCTGATCTGTCATCTACCCCACAACTCAAACTGCACAAACTGCTGCTTTGGAAAAAAAGAACTCATAAAAAGTTCTGTGCTGCGTTCACAGACCCACAAAACCTCCACCACTATCCCAGTTGTCAGCTACCACCACACATAGATTCAAATTCTGTGGAAAACACTGCAAAATACACAATAGACAAAGTTAAAGATTAATTTGACTGATGGTGTTTTGTTTTTGTTTTTTCAATTTTCAATAGATATCATTATATTATCTTTATTGTGAACTCTTTTGGCCACAATAATCAAGCAGTAAAATTCTGATATCACACCAGCCCTAGCACCAAGCATAGGATTCTAGGAAGGACCATCTAAGAAAAACATCCACAAAAACTCATTCATACCCACTGCAAAAAACATCTTAAATAAACAATGAACAATGGACAAAAATAACCATGATGCACTATGTCACTTTACACATATCCACACCTTTTATCTTGTCTATTTTTACAGTTTTAATTTTATACTTGTTTTTAAGATCTATACACACTGTGTGTGCTTTCAGAATCTGTGTTGTGCAATTGTTTCCAATCAGTGTATTGTCTTGTTTTGTATGTGGAGCCACGTCGAAGAAGATTTTCTGTTACGAGAGACAATAATGTTTTCTGAATCTGAATCTGAATCTGAAAAAGAAAAGAGAAAACAAAAGAGCTGACAATACACCTGCTCTGTTTTAGAGTAATTAGTGTCACACCTTGCTTCTAGAGGTTAAAGGCTAGAAAGGTAAAAGCAAACAGGCTCGAGGGTTACGGCACTGCAATAAGGAGAGCAGACACAAGGTGACACGTTCTTTTTAACAACAAAACTGTTGTTATTGAAAAAAGCTGTCACATCAAATCACTGTCAGGCAGAAAGCAGGAGGAGGAACAATCTCCAGGAGGTCTGCATTAATGATATGGTTCAAGATTAGCATCACATTTTGTTACCATAGTAACCAAGCACACAGGGTACATCCTCGACCAAACACTTAGTACAATAATGTCTCTCAGAACCTTTAAAAAATGTGAGTATTGGTGAGTATTGATTTTGATTGGCTGATAACTGGTTTTCATGTCGATACATTCAGCTCACAGACGACTCATTCAGACTGCTGTGCTTTACAGCACTGCCTCCAACAGCAACACCACAAAATGTAAATTATTCCTTAATAACTAATTCCAGAGCTGCCTCAAAAACAAAGTTAATTAAAAACACTATTTTTCAGCGTGACATTTCAGTGATCTGATGCAGAATAAAAATAGTAATTTAGTATTTAACATTTCACTTTAAGATCATTTTACCACTTTCAGTAAAATTAAAATTGTGTTCCTCCACTGGGGAAATCAGGTTGTGTGATCTTTTTCCTGTCTGGGCTGACACGTCCCTGTTTTGATAAGTCCAGCCACAACAACAGTTGCAATACCGTGCTGCTACTGTGTGTGTGTGTGTGTGTGTGTGTGTGTGTGTATGTATGTCAGTTATGTTCCAAATCATTTTCTTCTCAGATCAAATATCTCTTCACTGCTGAAACACACCCTGCCAGAAACACAGTCCTCGGGGAAGAAGTGTGTGTCCATCTGTCTGTCTGCCTGTCACTGTGTATGAACATGTATACAGGGAGTGTGCGCCCATATGTGTGAGTGTGTTTGTGTGTGTGTGTGTGTGTGTGTGTGTGTGTGTGTGTGTGTGTGTGTGTTTAGCTTGATGCTAACTGACAGCTTAAGCCTGAGGCCATGCGTAGACCGAGGAGTGACGATGTGCATGTGCAGCTGCACATGAGCAGGTTGGCATGTATATGTGTGTGTGTGTGTGTGTGTGTGTGTGTGTGTGTGTGACTGACCCCAGTACACTAAAATGTGTGCGCTGTGTATATGAATTATCTGTGCAGGAATTTCATTGTATAGTAATTTCACACTGAAGCCAGGCACACGTGTTTTAGCCTGCAGTTCCCCTGATGACCACTAGATGGTGATTCCAAAGAGGTTATAACCCCAAGAATCTGTCAGATTAATGACATGTTCTAAAACCGCAGAATAGTTCTGTGTTCTTATAATGATGACGCCCATGGTCCTTGTAAGTTGTGTGCAAAGTGTGTGCTACTTGTAATTAGCATATGCCCCGCAAATCCCCATAAACGGGCATGAGACTGTAGTAACTTCAGTAGTTCTGAAGTGGAGGTGCTTCAGGAAGTGAACAGTAAACAAGCTGTCATATTTAGCAGCGTCAGTAACGAGATGCATAGGATGCTAAAAATACACATTAATCAACCACCCGACTTGCAAACTTTTCTGTTACAGTAGCACAGTCGTCAGGACTGAGGACAGAGACGAGTGCTACACCACCCTCCAAGGTGTGTGTGAGAATGTTCAGAGAGACACAGAGAGAGGGGGAGAGAAGGTGGAAAGTGGACTATTTCACCCAATGTTTCTGTAAGTTATTAATGAAGCTCAGTGAAAGTTCAATCAAGAAGACCTTCTCTGTGCTCACCCTTTCACATTTCTCTCCCTCCCACTCTCACTACTCCCTCTTATCAGCTGACTATGGGTGTTCACTCCTCTTGTTATCCAATCACACTTTGCCAAGATCTCTCAGCCAATCAGGATGCCCCTGCAAAATTTTAAATCTGCTCCCTCTTCTGCTGCTGTCAGCCATCATTTTAGGCAGAATCATCGCACCCTCCTCCACCCCGTTAACCTCCAGCCATCGTATCCAGAGTCTTTCCTCTACTCATCCAGATCATCGGCACTTCTCCATCTTCCTCTCATCTCATCTTCACCACCTCTACCACCACCAGCGTCTGGGGGGGGTCCCTATCCAACTATGGAGTCATCACCCTCCTTGAATCAAACCATCTCTACGGGGTCTAATCGCCAAAGAATTTCAACATTCTTATTCATACGTTCACATGTTAATAAATATTCTTTTACCATTAAAAATGAGTCTCTGCTGATTGAAATAACTTACTCAGAACAGTGCTTTGCCACTTTTTTGTCCTGCCCACCTGAACTGCCAGTGATATTTTCTAGTGTGATCAATCACTAATTACTAGGTGGCATTGTTCCCATTAACACAACTGATGTAAATCAAAGTGTTGAGTGTAGAGTTTTTTAAAGACCATAATGCTTTTGTTAAATGATGAAAAGTACTATTAAAAAAATCTTACAAATTCTACAAATATTATTCCTATAATAATAACCCTGTAATATTATTATAACTGTAGAACTGAAGAAAATGCAATAACCAATTATTCTGCACAAACATATGTGTGTACTTGAGAACAAATCCCGAATAAGAAAATATTGGTGAATGTCAAAATCTTTGTGAAAACTAAGTGGTTTAGTAAGTGGATTTTAAGAAGAAATTTCTCCTTAGGAACGGTTAATGAATGAGGCCCACTGTATTAAAGAGGTGCCCTCTAACTGAATACAACATCAATGTGTAATTTTTCTCCACATGAGGTCATGGTTTTAGTGATTCACTAATTCTGCTTGATTTGTGCTTTTGTGGCATCAAATGATACCAAATACATTATCATATCCACACCTGTTAGCACTCATTTTGTCACACTTGCATACCAGGCTATGAGTCATCTCACACTCAGCACTAGATGTTTTCTATAGTTTATGGGGTGAACTCTCAACTATAAATTGATCAGTACATCTGAGTAATCCTAGGATCTGCACCAATTGATTTCACCTCTCCTAATGATTCATCTCAAGAAAAAAAAATCAATGCTGTGAACATGGGCGAGTTAACTGTCTAAAGCATAAATAAAAATGTCAGCTCATTTACTCACGACAGACAGGTCACTTGCTATTATACCTTAATGATGATGAATGGGGTGACAGCTGTGTGAGTAAAAAGAGAAATGACAGCGAATGATGTGTCGAGCACGATCACAATACAGGCAATAGTCTGCCTGAAATTATAAAGCTGTACCTTGACATATTCTGGATATTTTTCAAAATGTATTTTTTTCCCCATTTTGGCATTATCTTTTGACATTCTGTAAATATCAAAAGCAATACAGTCTTTTTTATGAAAGCTTTTACATTTGCTACTCTGAACACTGGCTCCTCTTTCCCTGGAGAAAAAGACACTTTTAAATCAGACAGCGTATCAAACCAAATGATCAGACAGAAGTGTCTTCATCAGCTTATTGATCATCTTACCAGGCAGTGTCCTGTGACATCGTGGCATTGTGCAGCGTGGCCGTTGCAACTACAAGCTTCACACACACCATTGTAGAGAATCCCGTTGACCCTACGGAAACCTGGAATACACATCTGAAACACACACACTCATCTGTCAAAATCTCATTTATATCAGACATTGCTCAAAGTGTACGATGGGTTTTAATTTCCATAAACTAATTTTCTTCCAGCGAGCAATTCCTTCTCTTTCTTTATCTCACCACGAGATAAAAATGAATTTCCAAAGATTAAAGGTCCAGTGTGTAGGATTTAGTGGTATCTAGCGGTGGGTTTGCACAACGGAAATTTCTGCCGTATGCCAAGAATGTAGGAGAATTACGGTGACCAATGTGAAAACAACAATGTCCGTATCTAGAGCCAGTGTTGTCCTTTCTGGACTATTGTTCAAACAACATGGCCGACTCTGGGGAAGAGGATCCGCTCTGTATGTGGATATAAACGGCTCCTATGAAGGCAATTAACACACACCAATTCTTAGTTTCAGGTGATTATAAACTTAAAGTTATAAATATTAAATTCCATTTCTGCCAATAGATGCCCCTAAATCCTACACACTGGCCCTTTAGAATATTCTTGATATAGACATATATATAATATATACTACACTTATTATAGTTTGTGTTATATCTGATACCACTGCATTATTAGTGGTATTTTTATTAATAATGCTTTGCAACAACGACTGAACATACGCCAATACTTTTTCAGCACTTACAGACGCCACTGTTGTTGAGCTTGATTTGAAAAGATTATTAATAAATCTATTTTATCCAGTCTGTAAACAAAAGTCTGCTTACTTTGTATACTAACATTTTACGGTCAAAATATCTTTGTGAAATTTTTATGTGGTTTTATAGTATTCTTACTTACATACCTTTCTCCAAGACTGTTTTCTATTGATGGCTGTCGAGTAGTTTTAACATTGCAGCAGGTTTGTGTGTGTGTGTGTGTGTGTGTGTGTGTGTGTGTGAGTTTGTTTACCTCACAGGAAGTCCCAGCATATCCAGGAGGACAAGAGCAGCTTTCCACAGCTGATGCTCTCCTCTCTCCTCTGGCAGAGGGATTAGCTACCTGCATTGAGAATGAGTGGAGTCTACATGCACACACACACACACACACACACACACACACACACACACACACACATATATTACACATAAACATGAGGCACACTGGTAGTCTGATTATTTTTACAGTTCAACATATGCCTTCACTTACATCTACAGGGCTATTTGGCTGATTGGGCTTTTAGAACTTTTATGACCTGAGTTTATTCTCTCAGGCAGAATTTACTCCCAGACAGCCATAGTTTTCATTAATTAAACTGCCACCGTGATGTTTAGGTAACCTATAGAAGGTTAAAGTAGGGTTATTCACAGACAGGCTATTAAAAAGAGCTGCCTGAGAGAGTCAGCTCTGATCGACTACCACTATTTCATGTTTAAAGCTGCTGTGAGTTTACATCTGTTGCTACTAATCAATACTTAATATGTTAAGTTTTGGAGCAAAGGGTAATGGCTGTATAAAACAACAAAACCACTATGAACATTTAGTTAATCTTGTGCAGGGTTAGGCAACCTGTGGCTCCGTAGCCATATGCAGGCCCTTAGCCCCTCTCCTTAAGCTCCCTGTGGCTTTGACAAAAAATAATATAGAAATGAATAACTTATCCTCAAATGTTTTAATCGATTATCAAATAAGATGGTGATATTTTTGATAGTTAACAACTAATCCATTGATCAATTAATCGCTGCAGGGGTAGAAATGCATGAAATATGTGTTTGTGTGTATTTGTCTACCTGTACACAGCGCTGGGCTCTGTGCTGTAAGAGGCCCGCACCATAATGCTGGTTACATTGGCCAACACAGACAGGAAATCCCTCCGACTAATGGGCTGTGCGCTCTCTGGAACCAGGAAGTTCTCTGGAAGGAGAGCAACGTGATTGGTGCTGGGCGAGGATGGGTACACCGGCTGGCCATACCTTCTGTCGATGATCTTAATTCCACCTCCCTGGCAGAGAAAGAAGAAAACATTTTTAATCTGTGTTGTTTTTTTGGTCTCCTTCTTTGCTTTTTACTTTTAATTCCATAAATGTAGACAGGGGATATTCTCCAAAACGTTAATACAGTATGTCACCTCTTTCAGAAAGGCCTCTGATATTCAACTGATCCGAGAAAAAAAGGGAGTAAGAGTGAATGATGTGTCATTAGGTAATGAGCTGCAGTTTCTATTGACATTCTGAATGGACGGAATGCAAAGTGAATTGAGCCTGGGCCTGGTATCTGACTATCTCTTGTTGAGAACAGATCAATGGCATGTAGCAGCTAACACAGAGTGACAACTACTGATGGAGGGAGGGAGAGGGAGAGGGAGAGAGAGCTTACCATGCCAATAAACCATTAAATAAAAACTAATTGAAAGAGAGGAGATGGAGGGAGGGATAAAGAGACGGAAAGCAGCAGCAGGGCCGAGAGATGCAAAGATAAAGACGGAGAGAAAGAGAGAGACAAAGAAAAGAAGCAGACTGACGTGAAAAAAGACAAAGTCACCTCAGAGAAAATTGTTTTCATTAAGTCTGTGAAAGAGAGGCTTTTACTGTCTTTCTTTTATTTTCTCTCACCTCTATTTATCACACCTTAAAAAATCAATTAGAGGATAAGGATTGTACTTTCCTATATTTTTCTTATTGGGGAGAAACCCCATGAAAAGACTAACACCAACAACAACGTGTTAGTCTGTCTCTCAATGTTTCACATCTTTCCCTGTGGCTTCAAGCCCCATCATCCCCTCAAATGTTAGTTTTTAGTAAACACTACTAACAGAAGTGAAAAGTAGATTTGTAGGGGGCTATTTTCAGCTGTAGATTATTACTCATTTGTTTAGAATCACCTAGATACAGCACACCAGGCCTCTGCAACAATGGCAATACTTGTTTGAGGACTTTGTTGGGGTAAAAAAAAAAAATGTACACACGAAGCACTGACAAAAACGTGACGGCATAATGAGAATTTTATTTGTTTTCATTTCTTTTAACCTGTGTCAAGATGGTTCTAGAAAAAGCATCTGGTTCTACTGGCAGAAGAACCCAAAATATATTTCAGTCAGGAACACTTTAGTCAAAGAAAACTTTATTTGCAGTGTTATATTTGGCAGTATGGCTCTGTTCTGGGGCCCCTCTGCCCTTCCTCAGACCTACACAGAAAGCCTCCTTCATGCACCTACATGGAAAGCCTAAGGTGGAGAGAGCACACCTCTCTGCCCTTCCATGTGCACACAAGGAAAGCCTGAGGCGGAGAGAGAGTAAACCCCCCCCCCTGCCCTTCCATGCGCCTACATGGAAAGCCAAAGACAGGAAGAGCAGCAGCAAAGACCCCCCATGAACAGAACAGAGCAGCATCAATGACAAACAGAAATGACATTGATAAGTCAGACACAGCATGAAAAGGAGGAGCTGGGGTGGAGGCGGGTTGCAAAACACTAGGCCCGTCAAACAGTGTGCACTAGGGCCCATCGTAATTTCCTTACGCCACTGGGTGGAATTATGGCAGCCCATCTTTAAAATATGTTTCTGGTTTTTTGGCTATGCATCTGGTTTTATCAAAGGTTGTTAAATTTGTATGACTGAATTTGTGCCCATTCAAAGGTAGTGAAAAAATGTCCCTAAAATAGTTCAGTTATCTTTTTATAGATTACTTTATTTACCTGGCACAAGAAAGGGGGAAATTAACCAAAACAAAGCAAACACCAGAACAAAAAACATCTGTGAGGGTGCTGGCTATCTATGACGAAAACTGTGTGTGGGTGTGTGGGTGTGTCTGTGTGTCCGTTCCACGTTTTTTCTCCTCACTGACTTGGTCAATCCATGTGAAATTTGGCACAGTGGTAGAGGGTCATGGGAGGATGCGAATGAAGCAATATTACATCAATTGGCCAAAGGGGGGCGCTATAGCAACCGACTGAAATTGCAAACTTTGAATGGTCATATCTCATGCCCCGTATGTCGTAGAGACATGAAACTTTGCACAGAGATGCCTCTCCTCATGAGGAACAAGTTTGCCTCCGGAACCCACAACTTTCGGTTATATAGATTTTCCGCCATTATGAATTTTTTGAAAAACACTTAAAATCGATCTCTTCCTAGGAAGTTTGACCGATCTGCATGAAACTCGGTGAACATAATCTAGGGACCAATATCTAAAGTTCCCTCTTGGCAAAAGTTGGAAAACTTACTAAAACTGAGCTTCTATAAGGCAATGAATATTGCGGAGGGCGTGGCTCATCACATAAAGGTGTATAACATCTCAAGGGTTTCACCGATCACCACGCAACTTTGTAGACATATGACCACACATAATCTGAGGGGAACCCTCCATTATTGACCCCATCAAACAAAATGGGGGCACTAGAGAACTAATTTATTATCTAGGCCTAACAGCCATATAGATTTTTACTAAACTTGGTAGATATGTAGAACAGGACGCCTCATGGTGACTGAAGAAATTTAACTCTAATTGGCAACTGGGTGGCGCTATAACAACAGAAAAATGCTTAAAAATGGCTAAAATGCGACTGATCGCTGTGGCTCCTCCTGTGGCCGAATGTTTTTTTTTTTTTTCCTAATTTTTGGTATGACTAAGTCATGGTATGGTATGCTGTACATAATCACGGAAACTGTCAGTGTGTCATTGTGTCAGTCAGTCATTCTGTCTGTCCCACGTTTTTCTACTCACTGATGTGGTCAATCTATGTGAAACTGCACATAGGCATTGAGGATTGGCATAGGTAGAAGGTGACAAAGCTATCAATGGGTATGGACTAGTTAGTCAAATTTTAAACATTAGTGTCGGCCTAGAATTTTACAATCAATGTATCCGTAGTTTAAAGATTTTTAACATCAGAAATGTGGAGTTTCAAGCAGAGGGGATGGACTTAGTTTGACAAACAGAAATTTAAAGATTGATAAATTAAATTAGATAAAGTGTTTGTGCAAATTACACATCACAAAGTCAAGAGTATTTCATTACTTTCAAGACCTAATATTTATGAAACTGAATTTAAGAAATCCTAAGATCATTTAACAACCTACAGACTTCCTGTTGTATTAGTGACTATTCAAATTCAATTTGGAGGTAAATCAATCATTTAGTTTTCATCTGTTATTTCAAGCAAAACAAAACAAAAAAACTGAAGATGCAGTACATTGGTTGTTATTGTTGCTGCCATGAAAGGCTCGGTATTTACATTTTTTTTAACTGCGCTGATGGAGGGCTGATAAAGTGAGAAAAAGACATGGAAGTCAACAAAGCCATACAGACAAACAAAGACAGAGAGATTATTGTCTATTCAGATCCCACATACTTACAAACAAGGCACGAGCGTCTTTCTGCGCTTCACAAAACCATGCAGCAAACAATATTACAACTTGATGCAGATATGCAGAGTAAACAGTGGGGGGGGCAGAAACTAAATGAGACAAAGGCTGAAAGAGAGACAGTGAAGAGGGAGAAAGCTGGTTGACAGTGTGTAGGTGGTTCATTATCGTCATCATTTGGAGAGGCTTTTTGTTGACAACAAGACCAACACTTGTCCTCCTCTCCTCCCAGTCTGTCGATCTGACTGACACGTCTTTAAATAACACAAGCTCATTGGTCTGTGACTATCCATCTATCAGCTTCCTGTCTGTCCTTTACTGTTTCCACTTCTTTCTCTTTACTCCCATGTTTCCTTCTACCCTGTTTCTTCCCTTCCTTACTGTCCTTTCTTCCTCCTTACTTAATTCTTTCCATTTCTTTGTTCCCACTTTCCTTCTGCCTTCCCTCTGTCTCTGAGTTTCTCACTTTCTTCGTCTTTCCTTTCCTCCACTAAATGAAAATACATAAAAATTTGAAGTCGTAACACAAATATTTTTTTGCATTCGCTTCCAAATTTAATCTAAAATTCCATCTCTACAGGAAACTTTTTATTTATCTTTTAATTCTTCGCAGTCAGTGCCTGAGAAGTAGATGTTATTGCAGCTTATTAAAGACATGGCTTTTTTTTTCTCTCCCAACTATTCTAATTAAAACTTCCGCTTCTTTAACTCATCATTGGGAGAAAGTTCTGTAGTTGAAATAACGGGATCGTTACTGCAGCTCTGGCACACTGTAAATATGCACACATACACGCACACACACCAACCTGCCTATGTGCCTGTTTGTATTATTTGTGTACTGTGCACACACACACACACACAAATACACAATGTTGTTTAGTGATGTAGGAGATATAAACAGTTAACTAATAGTGTTGCTGCTTTGCTTATTGCTGCCATACATCATATCACAACCTGCTCATTATAAAGACATACAGAGAGGGAAGGGAGAGACTCTCCATCTGCATTTTTTATTGCTAAGTTCAGCATTTCTCTGCCAGCTGTGGCTGTTCGTGTGTGTGTGTGTGTGTGTGTGTGTGTGTGTGCTTATAACAGCTTTTATTTACTACTTCATTTAGTGGTCTTCACTGTTGCAAAAGTCAATGACTTGTGGGAAAAGATAAATAATGCTGCAGACACAAATACATAAACACATACAGATTCATGCTCATGTGGGTCTCCTCTGGTAGTGAACGTTTCCTCCCAAAACAAAATCCATGTGTGTATTAAGTGGAAGGAACACTGCTGGTCAATGCACTTGACCAAGGAGCCATCCAGAGTGCTGGAGCTTATTTTACTGCTCCCAAAGAATTTTTCATAACTTCAAAAATCAGAACCTCACACCATATACAGTCGTACAAATAAATAAAGGCAGATGTATTGTTAAACAGCTCTTTATAAGACTTTATCTTTGTGTGTGTTTGAGAACTTACCTCTATGATTAGGTCCGGTTGTGAAGTGACTCTAATGGCCCTTTGTTCTTGTTGGTCCGTAGTATATGACACAGTGTAGGCCACACTCCCTCCATAGGCTGAAAGCTGAAGAAAGACAGAAACAGATTAGAGAGGACGCACATGAGCGTACACAGGTAACGCTATCTAATCTCTCAAGACAGATTCTGCAATCTACATTGTAGAATCTGTTGGCAGCCCTGTGTGAAAGACGACTAGAGCTGCGCTTTAGCCAATCACAATGGAGGGGGCGCGGCCGAGACATGCAGGTGTCCCCAGGAAATGTGTACCTACAGAAACCGCAAGCTCCGCATCCATAGCGACCACTCCAGTAATGCCGTCTCGTCAACGTGAAAAAAAATATTTTTTCCAGCAGATGTCTGAGTTACAACATGATTGAGCTAACTGGAGTAGTTTCATGTCGTATCCGGCAACGGGAGGCTTTTAACAGATGACGTCCTGATGTTAGCTTTGCTAACTGTCCCTGTCAGCTGCAGCCACTGATGCTTTCTAGACATTGTGATTTCCCATAACTGAATAAATACCACACATAGCAACACAAAACTGCTTTGCTAGCTCAATTATGTTGTAACTAAGATATTCGCTGGAAAAAATATTTTATTCACGGACCGTTTATTAAGTTATTACCTTATTTTTATACAGTCTATGGTTATAGACAACGCTAACGGCTAACGTTAACAGCTAACGGTTAGCCCAGCTAATCTAGGATAACCATATTAATTACGTGCACACAGAAATAGTAACGTTTGTTCAGTCATTGTGTTTATAGACTTAACAAACATCAGATTAGTCTACAAGGTGATATAGTGATGTGAAAAATGTGATATATAGCTAAACTCTTTTTTTTTTTTTTTTTTTTTTTTTTTTTAACCGATGGATTTCCAGATTGAACGCTATCTGACTGATCTATAGGTGGCCACCTGTGCATACTCCAAACGCTTTGGCCCATTTCAAGAACCTTACAAAAGGTGTTTCTACAGAGAGCATACAGGTGTGGAAATCTACGGCAGCCCTGGTGATTCTGATGCAGTGGTTTTCAAACCTTTTACTAAGGTACACCAAAGGCCAAGCCAAAATCTCAAGGCACACCTGTATCTATATCTGTGCATAAAAGCTTCTATAACGTGTTATCACTCTCATCACAACATAAGACAATGAAAATGAGAAAAAATAAGACAGGTAGCTTTCATGATACTGTCTACTGACAGTGGTAGGTTGTTTTTTGCTGGTGCATTGTTGTAATTTTCTCCATACAATAAAGAATCCATTGTCTCACTCACAGCTCTTCCTTTTAAATGTTATCATCCCTCACACTGGCTGCCAATCAGGGTTTTAGATGTGTCACACACTATAATTCCTATGCATGAATGGTGACAAATAGATTCCTAATGAAGATTTTTTAAATTAAATTCAATTGCATTTTTTAGCTAAAGTTTGCCTCTTTTTTAGAAAATGGGTGCACACAACATACTGATACAGTCAATTAAACATTCATTCATAACTTTCTGTACAGGCCCAGTTGAATATTGCAGTGATAATGTGTGGTTATGACAAAATCCCACGGCACACCTGGATTGGCATCACGACACCAGTGTGCCATGGCACACCATTTGAGAACCACTGCTCTGGTTAATCAATGGTGACTAAGTCTGATCTAAATGGTTGTTGTAATACCCATTTCAGCCAGCTGAAGTGCACCACTACCACATGTTTTAAATATGACTTTCAGCATTCATGTTTTCTACCAGGTCAGTTTGCAGGCACTCTAAACACAAGGTACATACACCATATTGTGTGTTAGCAAGTTATGTAACATAACTGTCATGTCTTTCTTTTTCTAGAAATGTATGAACTTCAGCCTCTTGTGGCCGACATGAGTAAAAAAAAAATCTTAAAAAAAAGATAGTGGCAGGGTGTCCGATGGTTTGGTGGGTGGGGTGGGCGCCCCATGTGTGGGGCGGTGTCATTGCCACAGGGGTCGTGGGTTCAATTCCAACACATTGGTCTTTGCTGCATGTAAACCCCTCTCTCTCCCCCTGTCAACGCTTCATATCTGTCTTGTCATTAAAGGCAAAAAGCCCCAAAAATACTAATACTAATACTAATAGAAATAAAAAGAAATTTAAAAAATGATAGCGGCAAAACTCTTTTCCCATCTATTTCACAGATGAAATATTGACTCAGAGAGATTATCCTGGCAAAACCTCTTTTTGTTTCACCTGCTTTTAAGTCTACACATGCGAGAGAGAACAATTTAAATCAGAATAAGAGAGCAGATTTTTTTTTACAAGCATCTCATGCCTTCTGCAAAAACCCAATCATGTCAAATTATGGCTACAAAAAGTCCTTGAATCCCACTATAGAATTAACATCTTAAAGTGTAGAATATATTGATGCAAAAACTGTGAGACCAATTTTTGAAGCTGTAAATGTCTGTTTCAAGTTTTATGTATGTATGTATGTTCTGTATGACATATACCGGCGAAACTACATTATGTAGATAGAAATGTGTCAAACACAACATAAATAAACAAATAATTCCCACGTGTACACAGTTCATTTCATGTGTATGTAAATCTTTTATGGCAGCAGCACTGCTGTAACAACTACTTGAACATCAACAGCTACTGCTTCAACTAATGATAGTGATTTCCTAAAACATATATCTTAAAATGTTTCAAGAGTAAGGAGAACAAGAATTTGCTACAATCTTTGTTGTCTTGTGTGTTACGGTGCAGCGTTTCTGTCAAGTCCACAGGATGAGCTTTAGCTGGAGAAACGCTGCGTCAGCATGATCCTGAAATTTATTATTCTGCTCCGACCTGAACAGTAATGGGTGGGAGAGCAAGATAATAATGCCACCATAAAAACAGAGAGAGGGGGACACTAAGGAAGAAGGGGGAGAGGGACGGAGAAATAGAGCCCGAGAATGAAAGACACAGAGAGAGAGAGTGAGAGAGGGAGAGAGGGAGAGGGGGAGTAAGAGGTGGACTTAATGCCTCTATAAACCTCTTCCATTCTACATCATTACTCTCAGTTCTTAAACCGGGAGGAGGAATCACCCATTTCACAGCTGACTGAAAATACACACTCACATACACACAAGCAGGCATGGAGGTGTACTTGGGTGGACGTTTTATTGACTAACACTTATTTGCCATCTAACCCCATTTGCTGATTTGGACTCCAGAAGACAGTAAAATCATAGTTTAAACCCACACTACACAGCCTACACACATCAGACACTTGTGCTGCTCGACCTCCTGCGCCATTAGCTCATCTGCACTCCACTATAGACTCTGCATCCACACTTGAGTCTCTCAGCTAGGGGTGTAACAGTACACAAAAGTCACGGTTCGGCTCCTACCGTGGTTTAGGAGTCACGGTTCAGAGTGTTAGTTCCACCCTGGCTTTATTTAAACATTCCGAGCACCAAGACATTTATCATCCAGGTGATCGACACATCTGGGTGATGTGAGCATGCTGGATATGTTTCCACTCACACACCCTGCAACAGTGAAGCAATGCGGACACACAGTCCTTGTCGTGTTCTTGAAGTCAACCTATGGCCTGTTGTTGCTATGAGACTACAGCATGAGGGAAAGATAACTTCTGTTACAGTTTGTAGCAATGGAGCTCAGAAAAGCAGCAAATTAGGATGGTTTTCTTCGTGACATCAACACGCCAACATGTCCGAGAGCTGCTGCGTGACTGGTTGTATGACTAACAAGACCAGACAAATTCAAGTCTCAAGTTTTATATCACACCAGCAGAGGAATCATGAAGGAAAGTGTCTGGCAGTCATCAAGAGGGCTCATGAAAACACCAGTGGTCTTGTCAACAAAAACCCTGAAAACCCTGGCCCACAAGTAAACTTTAATAACTTAATGCTTCATCAACACACTCTAATCACAGCGTAGGAGAGCACATTGCTATCATCAGATGAGTGACAGCTTTGTTCAACTCAACTTCTGTAACCACTGTAACATAAAAGCATGGTGGAATTAGCAAATAAGCTAGCTAACTACCCAGCCACAGGTATAAAAGCAGTTTTGCAGATTTGTTCTTGGCTGCTCTCTCATAACTCATCATTGTACAACATATGAAACTCTTAATTTTCTTCCTCATCCATTATAAGAAGACAACAACATTGGCTGCAGCTTATTTTTGTTATCAAAATGTAGACATTGTAATCACGCTCACTATTTAAACCACTTTATGATACCTTTCTCCTCTCATTATCACTTGAGAGGAGAATAATTTATTATTTCCATTGAGGAGCCACTTGAAAAAGAGTTGGTAAGGGTTACTCCTGATAAAGAATTTGACAGATCACAGTTGTGAAGCTTCTAAGAAAACTCTTAAAATGATCTCATTTTCATTAGGCAGTTCATTAGTGGTAGAAAGCAATCATTTCAAACCCTGAATTGTGACACTAAAATAAAGCAACCAGCAACACCCTGTCAGAGGCTGCATGTGTCTGAGCTATGAGCAATTTAACCAGAGAGCGGCTTCCATTACCAGCTGAAACCTTGTGAACATTTTTATAGAGGTAAACTTACACTGGATTTCACCAGAATGAACCTGAGACAAGAATAAGTTACAAAAATCACATTCTAAGGCAGTAGTGTTTTGTTTTAGCCTGGAAATCCAGACTCAAATCTAGAAAGATTTTGAGTCTGGCCCTCACCGATACACCCTTCCTACCCAAGGGCCGGCACTAACTGAGGCATTTCAAGTGCCGCCATACGCAATTGGATAGCACGATAGCCAATCAGAGCAAAAAACAAGGTGACATATTCATTGCACTAAGCCCCATTTGTTTGCCGATCAGTGGGGCTAACTGATATATTATGCTTTTGCCATATCCCGTCAGCAAACCAGCAAAAATGTCCTTCCTGGAAGCCGAGGGCTTCTAGGGCAGTCTTCTGTTCCTCTCTCAAGGAAAAAAATAAGTGTAGTTGGCTGAGCGTTTCTTCCAAAGCTAAACTGAATGGACGCGGTCTTTCGGCAGCTGCCATCTTGGCTGTTTACTTTTCGACTCCTACGGCGCAACGCTGTCGTCA